TTGCGTAATACAGAAACGTAAATATCTCTAAAACGAAAAAAGATATTCCAAAAAGGAAAAAGCCATTCTTCTTTACTTTGAAAAGCCTTTCAAATAAGGAGCAATTATTTTTTACTTCATAGGCACTTATACCCAATGTGAAAAATATTCAAAGTACACAAACCCTTCATTAGGCAGCCACCACCCATTTCCCCGAGGGTGGCTGCTTAATGGGGGTTCGTGTATGTTGCTGGCTTTCACTGTTTCTTCCTCCACTTATGATTAGTTACATTGCCTTCTGTCTTTTTTTTTTCAGATGTTTCATAGAATTCATCCTGAGCTGGCTCGGAGGAATCATCATTGTCCACTTCCAAGTAGTTCTCATTTCTTGAACCAGTGCAGCAGGGTTTACAGAGTTGCTGCATGGTTAATCATGAACAATTAATTGACAATTGCAAATGACTGTTTTCTAAATGATCATCAGGAACTCAATTCGTTTTTAATCTTGTCTTGTCGTTGTTCTATTAGTGTATACAGTACATATTTAGTAACAGATATCAAATGTTAAAACCTTCTATACTGAGTAACCTTTGCTTTATAACATTGACCAACTAGGTACTAACGTTCTGTCTTTCCATTTACTGTATTCTGATCCTCTTAAACTTTGTTGTTCATTGTTATACATGTAAATATGTTTGTAAATATGACCAGCTGATTAGTTCAAGTTGTAAATCTTCTGTGTTAATTAATCTAGAATTTTAGTGTCAAATCATAGTCCGGTTGTCTGTTGACATTAAATTGCATTTCGCTGTTAGGAGCAACAGGAAAAATAAAATTTATTCTATGCCTTACATGTTTTACTGCACATTTTTCCAGTTTTTTGATTATTTTTTTCAAGTGATATTAATTTATTGAAACTAACATGCTCAATTACAAAAGGCCATTTCTAAGTTGCCTTTTGACTCTGGGTCAAAACCATTCATATGAAAATGTGTTCCCCTACTGGTTCATTTTCATGGAAATCAAACCCATTTTCATATGAAAGGTTTTGCACCAGAACTCGTATTGAGACCGAGGCACAAGCTTACTCGGAAATCGCCTAGGTATTCTCTTCCTTCTCCTGCATAGCAAGTGAACCTGCATTTTGTGCAGCCAAAGTGCAGAAAACTCAAATTCTTGCAGGAACGCTTGTCGTAGAGGCTGTCATCCCCCTTACAGATGAACTACTTCTCTTGTGGTTATTTACCAGCAACCATCACTGTCATTCGATTTTCTTTCTTTCATTGGGCAAGAGCCCACAACATGACCTACAAATAACTGCTTACAAGTGATGTTCGGCTAATTTGTAATACCATCTAAATGTGGTTTGCTTCTTGACTGGCATCAGCCACAGTGAAATACTGTGTGCTTTAATATGTGAATTGATTGGCTGGGTTGCATTGTATGGTATGTATTTATTATGACAGACTGATACTCGACTGTAATTAGAAATAGACCTTTTTAGCTAGGGCGGTTTGTTTTCCTAGAACAGACCTCGTGATCTTCTCTGGAGAATGTCTCTTGTCCATCGAAAAAATTATTTATTCATACCCACGAGTCTATATAAAAATTTGAAAGCTAGAATTATCAAGAGTATTGACATGTTGCATGGTTTGAAATGGGGCAACAAATCGCCCAAGCTGAAAAGGTCTATGGAAGCATTTTCCCCAATCAACTCGGATCAGATTTCGTCTAAAGAAGGCAACACGAATTTACTTTCAGCTGACGTACGTTTGCGTTGCATATCGACTGCAAAACCAGTTTTGACAATGGTGATGAATAACGATGAATCTACAATCCTGGCCAAAAGGTTTTAGGACACTTACCTTTGTTCTCTCTTTTTTTCGTGGAAACTGCGAGAAACCAACACTTTAAAGTCATAGAAATAGCCTTACAAAAAATTTTTCCCCTGCCCCCACTGAACAATGTTGAAGTTCTTTGATTGTAGAATATTTGTGACATCTGTGGCTCCTGATAACCAACATTGTCCAGGAAGGGAGAGGGGTGGATTGAAATGCTATTTTTATAGAAAATGAGAAAGTGCACTAAAGTTTTGGCCAGGATATTGTAGTTTTGACTAAATTATCTCCCGTCCTTGACATTTTTCTCACGGAATTTGGATTACAATGAAAGTGAAATAAAATGACTGACAGCCCAATTGCTATTTACGTCAGTACACGAAAGGTCCTATAATAGAAGGGCCGGCACCTTCCATATTCTAGACTTTAAGGGCGTAAAGTGTAAGTTTACTTTTTCAATCGTGACATAATTTGGAGTCGCGCGTCCCGCAAACTGAAAATGCTTCGAGATCTTGTGAAACCAAAATTAAGGGAAGGATATTTGTCCCATGATTCTAAACCGCTGAGCCACTCATGCCGCAGGACCAAAACTGAAGTTTACTCAAACAGATTATACTATGCAGGACACGTATCGCAATGTTAATGAGGGTTTTTTGCTGTACCCGCTGTTATAACGGAAGCAAGGTTAAATATTTGCCTACACGTAGCCATGCGCATAGCTATGGCAGTTGTCCCATTGACCTCTGGATTAGCGGTGAGGTGCTTTACCGACTGAGCGATGAAGACCCTACATTGGGAGCAGGCCGATTTATTTTGAAACAGAATGAATAAAGTGCGCAAGTACTAATGAAATGAAGATGTGACCAGCGCGCACAGTAAATCACATTTAAACCGGCCAAAGGGCTTCAGAGATAACTTGTGCCTCTGTTTCTAAATGAATCTTCGTGCAAACCTTTCATGTGAAAATGAGTTTGATTTGCATGAAAATGAACCTGTAGTCGGAACACATTTTCATATGAATGGTTTCGCTCGAAGACTCGTTTTGACACGGGCAAAAGGCAACTCGGCAAAGGCCTAGACATGTAGTCATTTGGAAAACTGCGATGGTCACGTCTTCATTTCACTGGTATTTTCGCAGTTCACATCATGTACAGAACACTACCATCCACATTACCCCTTTACTTTAACCCCACCCCACTGGGTCATCATTAAACTGCGATCAGACGTTCTTTTTTCTTTTCTTCTTTCTGTTTTTCTCGAAAGAACACCTGATCGCCGGTTAGCTCATCGTCCATACTTAGAAATATCGCTACCGCTCTTGTAGATTCTTGCTGCCAGTTTTCAGTGAGGGCTGAAGAACAGGAAGCAAAAAGAGTCAAAACTGATCGAGTTCCGCAGCTCAAAGCATTGCGAAACAAGGTCGCATATATGTCAAGGACAAATTTGTTTCCACGACGACAGCCCGCGGCGAAAACCGACCGAAACGTCCGAAAACCCCACCGAACACGCTAGCTACGCGGGTTACTATAGCAACGAAAAAGAAAAAAAGAGTCGCGTAGATATTTAAACTAGATTCTAAAAAATTACAACAATCAAATTCAAAGAGTTTGTTACGGGCATAAACCTTTTTCTTTTTATTCCGTGAATAAACGGAAAAAGCGCGTGGTTAGGCCAATATTGTCAACTTTCGCATCAAAAATTGCGTGATCGGTTTCAAATACAACCACGGTTCAGTTTCCGGTGTATTTCCGTTACGTCATCGGAAGGAGATCGTGGATTCGTTCGTGCCGTTCGTGCAGGCTTCGAAAAGCATGCGTATTTGACGGAAGAGGGCCCGCGAAATATCCCGATGACATTGTATGGAAACAAAGTGACTGTGTGTTTGGGATGGCAAAGTTTTCCGTCAGGAGGCACTCTGATCCTTTCTACGTTCTCGCACTAAAGGAGGCCATCGTAAAAATATCCGCTCAGAAACAGTGCCCGAACGAAGGTAGGATTGTACGATCGGTTCTTCAAGAATTTGATTGGAGTAAAGCAGAGATAGTCAAGCAGTTGAAGTTTGCGGTTAAAGATGGCTTGATTCTTCAAGTCACCACGTCCTCTAGCCACGGTAGTACTAAGGGAATCCCTCAGACAGCTTACAGGATTCTTCGAAAAGACGGCGAAGATGATGTAAGTAGTTTTTTTGGTGATTTTTTTTCTTCATGATCGACAACACGCGCAGGTTATTCGCGCAGGAAGTGGTGTCCCCAACTCCTCTTGGACGGCTTCTAATTGTTTATGTATTATAAGCTTACTAAAGCGGGGGCGTTTCGTTGACTTGGCCGATCTCTAACTTATTGTGCCGTCGGAAAATGGTAAGAGATGGTAAGCATCTATAAAGCGACCGCATTCGTGGCCACATATCTATCTATTTTAGGTTCTGTTTGGGCAGAAACACTTCAGTGATTTCGACACATTCTAACCCGACGATGCAAATTGTGATTTGAACAAAACAAGAATATTCATAACATGAAAAAATACAAAAGCTTCATTGAGAGAACGCTCATGCGGTCAGACTTTAAATAAGCTCATTTGTTTCCCAACGCGACACTGAACGCGGAGAAGATTTGTTTTATGTACGTGTCGTTCAATGAGAGATTGCATGTGTAAAGATTCCGGTGAATTGGGCTTTCCGCACTGTACTTATCATGCAGATGAGCTGTGCTTGTGTCTTATTGTTGTGTTCCACGTTATTGAAGTTTTTGCATGAATATTTATTGTATTTGCGCTCAACTTAACCATTTTGCCGCCGAATGACCAAGTGTTAGCCTTATCGTACGGCTAAAATGGTAAACGCGCAATGTTTCTTATGCGTGATGTGGTGAAGTCATCCGGCATTTTCGGTTTTAACATCAGATAGCCAAATGCGTGTTGTTCTTGGTAATTTTCGATGCTCCAGTTTAGTTTGTTCACTGGTTACGGCTGTTAGGTTCATTTGCATATTTTTCCTTTGTTTCCGAACGTTCCACTTAGGACAGATCGCAATGAGACATGTGAGCTAACGAACAACCACAGCAACGGAAGACTATATTGAGTCATCAATGCGAACTTAAGATTGGTATATCAGACATTTCTTTGCAGTTTATTAACCGGCTTATAATCTTATAAAATGGTTGTACTTCTAAAGAAAGGATAACTTAAATGTGTTTGGGGACGGTCATTTGTTACGGTAAATAAATGCACTAATCAGCACTTGTTTGGCTTTCTGATCATTTTAGAATGAAGAAACAATGAATGTCTTTGTTTTACTTGTATTGTTTAATAAGCCAGTATCATATTCATTTACATCTCCCACCTGTTTTAATGTCACAATGAAGATTTTGGTGTATTTTCCAACCTCAACCAGTTTCGACAGAGAAGTCTTTATGTTACTTCTTTTTAACAACAAAAAATACTTCCTTGTTGCTCCTTTGAGAATTACAAGTTTGTTGTGGATTTAACGTCATAAATAAGTTATTTTTCATTTGATTTGGTTGATGTTACCTTGGTGTGCTGGGAATGCTGGATTTGCCATAACAGTTTGATTTTGAAAAGTCAACTTTTATTCAGTCAGTAATGCTATACACAAGGGTGCTTCACTCTCCTATCTTCCTGGCAAGAATCTTTCAGATTATTACTTCTTACCCGACAATAAGTCAGTCATGAACATGGTGCAGGGGCTTGCATCTTCAACAAGTGGTATCCCTTAAAATCCCATGTTAAAGCCCCCCCACCCCCCATTTATATGCCCCCCCTCGATATAAACCCCTCTATCATTGCTAGCAAAGATATTATTCCAGATATAAGATTTAAGTGTGTTCCTTTTGCGTTTCTTTAAAAACATCAAAATTTTTAATTGAAAGTTATAGGCTAATAGGGTAACAATTACCCAATTAGCCTATAAAGCTAACATGCCATTACATTTAGAGCTATAGTTATTATAGCTCTAAATGTAATGGCATGTTAGTTTTACCTTAGAATTCCAAAAGTAACACCCCCCCCCCCCCCCGGAAATAATGGCTCCCTGAAAGTAACGTTAATTTTTTACCTTCCTACTGAACCCTGAAAGTAATGGTTCCTCCGAAAATAATGGCCCATCTGAAAGTAGCGTCCCTTTGATGAAGTCACCAAAAGAGAAACTCTCTGATCTCAAGTGCAATGCAAATGGGGAACTCTGACTGCAGGACTGAACTACAGTGGCCCACAGGGGCAGTACAAGAATATTTCTCCCAGTACACAAATATTTATCCCAGTACAAAAACATCCCAGTACAAAAATATTTATCCCAGTACAAGAATATTTATCCCAGTACAAAAATCAGTACAAAAATGTTTATCACTCGTGAGATATCGAGTTGAACACTTAAAGATAAAATGCGTATCCACGCGTGGGCATGTAATATCCTCATTTTGTACTGGGACAAATATTTTTGTATTGGCATAAATATTTTTGTACTGGGATAAATATTTTTAAACTGCCCGTGTGGGCCACCGTACTAAACAACTTGAAGAATTATTTGCAATTTCGTTTCGAACTTCACTGAATTTTTCTGGAAATTATGATTTATGGGTTGTGTTATTTTGTCTGGCAGTACATTCAAATGATACACTGTAATATAATCAGTTGCATCACAATAATAAATGCGATATAATAGTTTCACCCTTCAGCACCAACATTTGGGACCTTCTTTGTTTATACAGTCTGCTTTGGTTATGTAGGTAGTTAGGAACACACACAAATGGAACTTTTAATTTCATGTGTTATGTTTCCGCTTTGTCTGAAATGACTGTTACTGTGCAAACGTTTTTTAACCATTCGAAGGTACCGGCTACCAGTAAGTAGCAGCCCCTTTTGCCTGCTGAATCTGAAAGTTGTGGGGGCCATTACTTTTGGAACTCTAATTTGTTTCTCAGAGACAATTTATTTAGTCGTTTCGAAACCTTTTTTTTATTCCGCTTATATGCCCCCTGGATATAAGCCCATCAAAAACCCCTTATGAAGTTATATACACCCACTGGGCTTTAACATGGGATTTTACAGTTTTTGGTTTAATTTGCATCATGCAAATGGTTGTTCACTAAATTCAAGTACTATGTGTACCAGGCAATTTATATTTGAGTTGCAATATTTTTTGCTGAGCTAGTTGCCTTAAAAAGAATAAATTTTTTGTTTCCTATCATTGAATATATTAAATCATACTGGGCGGAGAGATCAAGTTACTGGCATGAAAGTTAAGTGTGTTGCTGGAGAGTATAGGACAGATTCTGAAGCCTCTTGATATTGCTTGAAAACACTAATGATAAGGTCCCCCTGCCTCCAGCTATGTACTGTACAGCTAGTTTATGTTATAACTATTAAGGCTACACCTTTGATGCTCTTCAATAATGCACCTACCATTGTTAAGGCTGGGGGGGGGGGGGACCCCTGGGCATATGTGGGGCATTTAACTTTTCAGAAGAATATTTGGTCAAAATCCCCAATGTCAAGGGCCTGAAAAATGGGTAACATCATGTCACATATCCCCACCTTAGCATAGCACTGAGGCATAAAGATCCACTGTTACAATTAATTTTTAGACCTAGATGTAGGAGGGGAAGGGAATATTTCTGAGTGTGGTGAGCAGTGGTGGATCTAGGGGAGAGGCCCTGGGGGCCCCGGGGGCTCCTTATTTTGGGTAAAAAAAATCACAGAAGGAAGAAAAGCCAGCAGGGCAAGCAAAACCCCCTGCGTCCCCCTCCTTAGCTCAAGGTCTGGATCCGCCACTGGTAAGTTTATAAAATGGACTTTGAATAACTTTATGATTTATGAATGATGTACTTGTAAGGTGATTTGGCAGCTCCAATTTACAAACCACTAACTAGTATATATATATATTTTGTTGTGTATTTTGATAGGATGAAGTACAAGCGCAAAAGAAAATGCTATCATCAAACACGCATGACTGGTACTGCTGGGACTGTCACAAAGCAGGGGAAGTTATAGCATGTGATTTCTGCCCGCGTGTATTTCACAGGAAATGTGCGCATTCTGGTACTGTGGCCAATGGGAAGTGGAAATGCCCATCTTGCCAGGTAATTAGTAGAACTTGATACTGGGCAGGAGAATGTTTTGCACTTGCTGTTAGGGATTTTGTGTGCACTGAAATTACTCAAAACAAAGCCACCAATTAAGTAAATTCTTTGTGAGCTTGAACCAGTAGCAGTGAGTGTAAAATTAGCACAGAATTTTGTTGGATGAGGTGGTTGAGGTATTAACACTGCAAAATTATCTGTCTAAAACAGATTATTTGTGTAAATATGAATGTGTTTATTTTAGACTAATACTGCTGGAGTATAATCAGATTCTGTCTGGCATCTCATCTTAGTTTAATCCTCTGAAGTGCTTTTCTATATTTAGTTATACGCTTTGTTTTACAGAACAAGAGAAACTATTTTTAACTTTTACATAGCATTCTGTTGCCCAAGACATATTTGCTAATATTGAAAAATATTGTTTTTATAGCCACAGAAGCTGCCTGTGTTGATGTCAAACAAGACACCTGACCAGCTAGCAAAACTTCTCAAGTTTACATTGGAAAGAATGAAAGAAAAGGTACATGTACAACGAATACAGTCATGGCTGCTATAGTCAGTGAAAATGTTACTAATAAGTTCAGTTATTCCAACCTACAATTTGTCGAGGTTGGTCTGGCTAATTCTGTTGTGCTTGGCTGTTAAATCTAATATCTATGGTTTTATTTCACCTCAATGTCTGTTTCAACTCATCTCATTTGTATGTTTAGAGAGCTTTGAAATCCATAAGATGGCTGGGTAATGACTATTGGAGAACTAGTGGAGGTTAAGAGAACATGTCACTAGCATTTTATAATGCCTAACATGCAACCAATCACATTGCAAGCTATAAATGTCATGCAAACAGAAATGTCTGTGAATTTTAATTGAGACCACCTAAGTCAGTACTGTTGTTTTACAGGCTAAAGAATACTTGGAGCCAATTTCCTTGGAAGAACATCCAGACTATGAGGACTTCATCTTTAAACCAATGGATCTTAAAAAATTAGAAAAGGTTTGGCACACTTTCTGTTCACCCTAAAGTAACTTATACCTTCCATAACTTCATGTAGTACTGACTTCCTCCTGCTTTGGAAGATAATCCTGTAGAGAGTGTTTTTCTAAAGCATATGATTATATTATCATTATAAGCATAATTCTGTAGCATGAAGCAACAACTGCTTCATGCTACAGTTCTCTTGAATGAAGAGTGGAACTCTGGCTCATTACAATGAAGTGCCTTGGCAAAGGAAACTGTTATTGGCCAGCACTGTTCTCATTATACCTGTCACTTCTGACAAGTATAAATAGTAGGTTCTTGAATACTTTTGGAACAACCAAACTAAATGCTAAGCAGGGGAACTGAGGGAGGGGACCTGCAAGTAACTTAAGAGGTTTAACATTTTCAAGACCTGTTTTGCATATCAGACTGCTTTGTGGCATGATGTTTTATTTTACAGCTGGTAGATAAAAAAACCTTCAAGTCTCCAAAGGAATTTAGAGAAGAGTCACAGTGGATGTTCCATAATGCGATGATCTATTTTGGAGGTATTCACTAAATGCAGCAATCTATTCCTAACTTCTTGAAATTTACGTTGTTTGTAACAACTTCTTGTTTTACATGTAGCAGTTCAGGAATGTATCAAGCCTTTGATTACACAGTCATTTTATCTTCTTTTCCCTTTTTCACGCTCCTGTTCTGCCCCTTTCCCACAATCTCTCAGCCCAAAACCCACTCTTACTAGTTACAGTGTATGCAATATTGTCAAATGTTATCCATGAAATGTGGCAAGTCAAGTCAGAGCATTTCGTTTATCTCATCCACCTTTATTCACCTTTCATTCAGTCATTTCCATTGATTTCCAAGGTTTTCAAAGCTTTAATTCCATTTCTGCTCACTGGGGTACAGGACATCCAAAGTTCTGTGATCTCATTCCTCTCTTAATGCAGGAGATGGAGATATTGATCACATGACCTCCTCCACTGGTGTCTTTTTTTTTCTTTCAAACTCAGGCCACTATTCGACTCTAATGTTTTCTTTTTTTGCAGATGATGATGACATGACGGATCTTGCTGAAGCCATCATGGAGGACTGCGATGGAGAGGTCAGTGAAAAATTCTTTCCTGTTAAGGATGCCTGGTATAGTACTATTTGTTTGATAAGGCTGCCTTTTAAATAAAAAATTGTAATAATTGGTTTTTATTATGGTTCAATTTTCTAGCTTGAAGAAATGATTCGATGCCCTGATTGTTACTTGATGTCTAATACACGATCCAAAAATTGGTTCTGTAAGCCATGTGTAAGTAGAAGTGTTGTCAAATGTTATTCAGGTATATATGTTTAATATTTTTCCACAAGTGCATATTGGATCCAAAATAATTGATTGCCAATGGCCCAAAGCCAATCAAAACTCTGGAAATGCATAATCCAATGTAGTGTGCACACAGCTGTTTACTCTCTTAATAATACACTTGAAAACATTACTCGATTCTGGTTGGCTAAACATGAGTACAGTTTTCATGTAATACCGGTGCAAATTTCAAAAACGGGTGCAATTTTGAAACACCAGTGCAAAGTACAGTCAGTGGAATCCCAATTTCTCAAACCCTCATTTTTTCGAACCTCCCGATAACTCGAAGCAAAAGTCGTTTCCGTCTCCACAGTCGAACTCTGTAATTTTATCCCCGATTTCTCGAACTCTCCGACTTTTCGAACCAATTTTTGTTTCCCTGGGAGGTTCAAAAAATCGGAATGCCACTGTACAACGATGATTTTAGAAGTTAGTACGAAGATACTCGAAGTCAACCGACGGTCATCCTACTATTTCAAAGCTATTTCAAATTGCACGAGCCCTACGGGTCCTATGGGCTCATGCAATCATGTGATTATCTATACTGAAAAAGGCAGAGATGAGAGGAGAATGAAGAGGGTTGTACTCCGGCTTATTTTCGGCTCGTTATCGTTAAGTAACCAAATTGATTGATATACAGTCGAACCTCTACACAACGGCCACCTTGGGGAAAGGGGAAAGTGGCCTTTGTAGAGAGGTGGCCGTTATGGGGATGTATGAGTGTAGCATGACTTATCTACACCTGTTTTTTCGGGGGTGAAACATTTCTTTTCTTAAAAAATGCTTATTTTAGCATATAAACTGTACGTAACACAATCAAAATACATCAATGAAACAGAAACTAAACAGAAACAGAGACTAACGAAGCGTGTGACGAATCAAGTTTGGTGACCTTTTACAATAAAAGATGAAAATTTGTATGCACCGTTCGTCAGTTACTGGTTAACTGGCCGTTGTCGAGATTTTGGTGGTCAGAACGCGTTTTTAGTAGCCGTTGCCGTCGTGGAGAGGTGGCTGTTGTAGAGAAGTTAAAATTAGAGAGAATGTATGGACTGTCAACCGGAACCAAAAAAGTGGCCGCTGTAGAGAGGTGACCATTAGTGTAGGTTCGACTGTACGTAGAAGCGGAAGTGTCATTGCAGAATTCTCTTTTGTTGTAGTACTTTCCTCATGAGCTTGTGTGGGCAAAGATGACAGGGGAACCTCCTTGGCCTGCTAAAGTAAGTTAACGCATTGCAGTATACTTCAAGTAATATTTGAGTTATTGAAAGACATTCTGAATGAATTTTTTGAGCCGTGTCCGAAATAACCGTCCTGAATATGAACGGTAAACAAAATGGGGAATATGACAAGGGTTTGCCGTCTAAAAGTTGTTTTGACGTGGTTTCAGTCCGTTTCACATGGATGTAAAGGTCCTAGATGTAACGCTTTCTAGCTGTAAGTAGGATAGGATAGGATAGGAAGCCTTTATGTCAACACCATGAGTTTTAAAGCTAAAAGCTTGTGGGGTCGTGTATAAAATAAGTAAGTGTGTTTTAATATCTTTTGGTCCTGCATGGATACAGTAACGTCCCTTTTACATCGCAAGTCCAGAAAGTGGTCAAGAGAACAGCATATGGTAATCAACAGAGAACGTAGGGTGGGTCTCATTAGCCATCAAGAAATACCAGAATCTAATAAAGTAAATATAGTGTTCAATTTTTGGACTTTCTCTTTCAGATGCTAAGCTGGAGTGAAGACAACTCAAAAGCGCTCGTGCGGTTCTTTGGGGCTGCTCATCAAAGGTATATTCGTTTCCTTAACGTTATCAAATGATGGTACGCACGCACGATATCACGTTCTTGCGAAAACACGCGTGTGCCGAATCACGTTTTACCATCTCACGCACTTTCACTATCTTGAGATTATGAATGGTGCATGGAGGCATGAATTGTGAATAAAGGTTAGGAGAGGGTGGTGCACGTTTTACAGAAGTTAGCTATAATATCACGTTGCTCGTCATGATTAATGGTCAAAACAAATAGAATACTGAAATGTCCGAGTACACGTTTACCAACAGGGCCTGGGTCGGCCGGAAACACATCATGCCAATCACGAGCAAACCGGAAGTGAAAAAACGATCCCAGAGGTGGGTCCAGGCTAATGACGAGATGAAAGAATATCAGAGACAGCTGGCTCTTTTATACCCTGACGCCAAGCAACAGGTAAGGACTACACAATCATTTTGGTTTGTTTATTTAAAAGGAGCTCAGTCACGGTATTTTAAGTTATTTTGGCCAGGAATGAAACTACTTTTAAATTAAAAAAAAAATTAAAATTCTAGTGTACTAGGAAAAACACAAAGGAGATTATCATAGTAATAAACTATAAGAGAACAAGGATGGTTAAGGAGGCAGAGGATTAACACGGATTACAAACGACGAACATTTAGGGTAAATCTTTCAAGATGCGTAAACCGTGACTTAGCTCCTTTAAACGTTCAGATCGAGGTATTTTACCGCTGGTGATGCGAGAGTTTGCGTACACAGACTGACTGACTTGTCTGTCTGTTTCAGGAATCGACGCCTTGTCGTAAAACTGAGACCAAGGAATGCCAGACCGACGTACAGTTAAACGAGGAAGATAAAGAAAAGATAAAACAGTTAGAAGAACAGGTTCGTCAAAAAAACGAAGAGCTTGATTCGCTGACATCAGACCTAAAGTGCGAGCGAGAGCGAGCGAAACAGCTGGTGGAAGGAGTAAAACGGAAGAAAGAGGAGCAAGACCAACGAGTGTTGCGTGACAAGTCTGTCAGCGAACAAAAGGAAACGTCCGAGAACTGCAGCAGTAATAGCGCAACTATCGACCTGTCCATGACAAGGGACCAGTCCAGTGTTATTAAAATGTTACAGGACGCGCTTGAACGCGAGCGTCAAGAGAAAAAAGAACTCATTGAGAAAGTCACGCGAGATTCGCAAAAGAACCGTGAGCGTGACATACAGCAAGCCGTGAAAAGAGCCGTGAACAAGGAAAGATTGGAGCGAGAGCGGATCACGGACGAGGCAGTGAAGAAAGCGGTGGAGAAATGTAAACAGGACAGAGAAAGACATACACAGAAAGCGCTGCAGATGGCCAAGGAGGAGGCTGAGAAATCGGTGCAGGAGGCAGTGAGCCTGGCCAAGAAGAAACAATGGTGCGCTAATTGTCGGGCGGAGGCTTTTTATCCGTGTTGTTGGAACACAAGTTATTGTACTTTGGAGTGTCAGAAGACTCACTGGTGCACGCACAGGTTCCATTGCCTGAGGGTCGCGTGTAACTGCAACAGAGATGGCCCTATGACGCGGTCGTGACGTCACAAAGTCGGTTTCATGGACCACTGTCTCGACAGTTTCGCGTCAGACGTTACCATGGTTATGCGCGGGGAATTCTGGGAGTTGCAGTAAATCGCTTTATTTGTGATAATGGCGATGTAACATGGTTTGTTTGTACAGCGGTTATTTCATGCCTTAGAGCCTGTTCACACTGACTAATCTTTTTGAGTTAAATCGAGTACTAAATTTTGCAACCTAGTGCAACCCCGATATAACCAGTAAACTTCATTAACATCGATGATCGAGGCACGCTTATAGCGAACGCCGAATTTCGGTCCCAGAAAGAAGGAACCAGGACCTCAACAGACAAGGGAATTAGTTGATGACAGCTATTTTTAGTTCTGGATAACAGAAAGTTATCGATAACTAAATATCTAATTCGTGACTTTGCGGCAACTTATCTTGTCTGTCATCATCAGATAGTCGTCCACTATAACGCCAAACCCTGAACGCTGACATGCCCAGCTAACACTACTTACCAAACTTTCGTGTTAAAAACACACTACCAATCGATAGCGTTAGCTTCTAATTAGTGGAGGCCCTGGGTCTCTCCTTCGCAGCTGTCACAGCGATTCCCTGTGCGAGACCCATTAACATCTGTGAAGGAAATTGCAGACATATTTCCAGTAAATTGGAGTTCAGCTTACAAGTCGTTCAAAATAGGTCTTGCCACGCTGTTTGTTGTATCAAGGTTGCACTCAAATCGCTTGGAGCTTAACGTTTCAGCGGTTGCTGCATGGTAAATTACTTTCAGCCAATCAGGTGCTCATTTATGGCTCCCATGGTTGTTTTCAGTCATTGTAAAATATTCTTATAGTTATGTCTAAAACAGTTTGAATCTTAACCTCCGAGGGTAACTTTTACGTAATATTTTTTTATGTTTTTTTAAGTAAAGTAATGTAAAGTCCTTCATTTAAAACTATTATCGTTTAAGCACTACATGCTTGAGGGGTCGTGTATCTAATTAATTATCTAATTATCTAATTACCTACTGATAAAACGAATGTTGTTTTGTTTGTTTGTTTTGTGTATCCGGTTTTCATTTATACAGTTTTATCGCAATTCAAACTACTTTGGTGTTCAAGCGAACCGATGTCATTTTTTTCCTTGGTGACGCTTTATAATTCATTCTTTCTCTCTTTAATTCGTATGGCTTTTGTTGAAGGATTCCAATTGGCAAGTGTAAATATTGGTACTATACTGTGTATTGTTTCAGTTTTTCCGAGACCTTTCTCGGCTGGTCAGCCTGTTTAGGTGAGGTTGCAAATAAGAACTTTTCTGAACACCCACATAGAAATTTAGGCAAACATCTCTGTGCTGAGAAAGTGCGTAGTTTAGTTTATTTTCCATATTTTTAGACGGATTGTACATAAATTGTTTTGCAAGCGCATCAAATTCTTTGCCCTTCAGCGACAGTTGGAGCTGTTATGTTGTGGGCACCCTTTTGTTTTGAACGAGAAATCATTTTGACATTAAAAATTTATCAATAGTTTCTCAAGCATAGGGTTGTGGTTTCAAGTAATGTGCCAACCCCGAGTGTCAAAAAAAAGGAAAAGAACTCTCCGTTGATCCCTGAAACGTTTTTGCAACCGTGATAATGAGCTTTCGTTTTTCTACGAAATCGTTGTATGTCCAAATATCTATTTTTATGATCCCATCGAAAGCAGAGATGTGTGTAAATATTCTTAACACGACGTACTGTAAGTGCGTTCCATAAAATTATGACAAAATCTAATGTAGGGGCGACAATCGATTAACGTAAAACGTATGTATTTTGATACAAGATCAGATACAAATGCAGTATTTTTAAGATCATTATTAAACATGGTTAACTAAATAGGTAGCAATTGTTTTCTATCCAACCGAAATGTACAGTTGTTGTAGCCTTTCTGTCCTAGTATCCTTGCAGGTCAGTTTTACCGTGCAAGTTCAGTTGCAAGAGTGCGTTCAGATCATCGAAAAATCAGTAACCTTTTGTCTCAGTGACCTGAATTGTGAGATTGTAAACACTGATAACTTTACCATGAACTGGAAACGAACTAAGTTGTGGAGTTTTGTTATGTTGTGAATGACTTTGTATAGTTCGTAGTGATTAAACCAATCCTGTGTTTGGGACATCAAAGGTTGTGGTGACTTGTTGTTGTTACCGTAGGTTAGTTGAATCAAAGTCAGTGTTAAATGGCCACATACTCTTGCAAGGAGACACATTGATCTATAGTTACCCTGCACCAGATCACAAAGTAGTGATGTACCACAAAAAGAGAACTTATTTTTTTCATTTAAACAATGCGAATTGGTACAGGACTGGGAATCATCTACAACCTTTGATGTCATTTTCTGTTCACTGCACATTTTTGTTATCAGGATCATGAACACGCCGTAACTTCATACAAACATACCAAAGTACAATAGTTAGTTTGTTATCTGAAATTGCACAGATATTTGTTTAAAAGCTGTAATTCAGAAGAGAGATAAGAAATACCGTGCGTTTGTTTAAGGTCTGTCCGACTCCTGTTCGACGACCGAATAAGGGTCGTCGGGACGTTGTC